GTCTCTCGGATGAGAGACGAAACGTTTCTACATTTTTTTGTTGATTTGCTTTGTTTTGGTTTTTTTTTAATGTCCAGAGGACCAGATTGAACTTTTTTAGACATACAGTTGAAGTTTTCATAATATATTTAACAGAATTCAAAAATATACTGTAGAGGTAAATGTTCAAACTTTTCATGCTTACTTAACATACTTACTGGTAAAGCTAGGAAAATTTTAGGTACAAGATGTCTTATGGGTTGTGCTTTTATTTCCATGTGTCCACAGGGATTGTGTATACTTGTGCCTTCTGAACAGTGGAACCAGTTTTGTTGCTGGTTTTGCCATCTTCTCTGCTCTTGGATTCATGGCCTATGAGCAGAACACAGACATATCAAAAGTGGCCGAATCAGGTGCACCCGTAGAAACACATTACTGTTGTTTTTTCAGAAGATGAATAACAGATGTTTTTTTCTCTGAATGATGCAGATGTATAGTATAAAAACTGAACTCTCTGCAGGACCTGGTTTGGCGTTCATCGCCTATCCTCGAGCTGTTGCCATGATGCCTTTCCCTCAGCTCTGGGCGGTCTTCTTCTTCATTATGATCATCTTTCTGGGACTGGACAGTGAGGTAAACTGATGAACCTTAGTGTAACTATAATGAGTTTAAAAAATAAACTGCTTTTGGTTTTTAAACTTATACAAAGTGGGGTTTTTTTCAATGAAAAGTAAATAATACAAAAACATTGCCTAATACTAAAAGATCGTTTTGATTGTGTATTTTTTCAGTTTTATTAAACTTTCTTTTGAAAATTATGCAAGTGCTGGATTTTTAAATGGTTTTCAACTTTATCTGGATACATGTCTTCTGTTTATCTTGGATGCTGCACCGACTAATGGAAAGACCACATTTACATGTAATAATTGATATCAAAATCCATTATTTTAGTTTGTTGTAATAATGTTGAAAAAAAATATTATTTTATTTATTTACTTTTACAAAATATAACCATGTCTCCCTTTCTTTTTTAAATTTAAACTAAATGTGGACCTAGAAGATAGATAGTTGGATGGATGGATGGATGGATGCATGGATGGATGGATGGATGGATGGATGCTTACTTTATAAATCCCCAGGGGGAAATTTGAGGAAGTCAAAAAATACACAGAATACACAAATTTGGAAAAAGACAATATACACATGCACAAGGTGGTAGGGAGTACTATATATTCATGATTATATATATACACAACTAAGCATACATATACATGTATATCATTATATATTATATTAATTTGCATCATATTCCTTTGCACATGTATGTTGCATACATATGAAAATAAAAATCTCTTTGTCAATATAAACTGACTAAAGGTTTTGTTGTTTGCAGTTTGTAGGTCTGGAAGCTCTTGTAACAGGAATTTCTGACTTGAATCCTGGTTTCTTCCACGTCGGCCATAGGCGTAAACTTCTCCTTCTGATCATCTGCGTTCTGAGTTTCTTCATTGGCCTTGTGATGATGACAGAAGTAAGATCCATTATCCTAAAATGTACATTTTCCTGTGACATGACAATGAGGTGTATAAGCTGCTGCCCCCCACGCAGGGTGGGCTGTACATTTTCCAGCTGTTTGACTACTACTCCTGCAGCGGGATGACTTTGCTGCTCTTTGCCATTCTGCATTCTGTGTGTGTTGGATGGGTATATGGTGAGTTGATTATCAAGAGGAACATATGTTGCATCTTCACAATGAATTCAGTTTGTTTCACGTATGTGTTTGCATCCACTCACAGGAGCTGAACGGTTTTATAACAACATAGAGGACATGATTGGATACAGGCCTTTACCCTTCATAAAGTACTGCTTGAAGTATGTTACTCCAGTGATCTGTCTGGTGAGTTGTTAAAGCAAAACTCGAACCCTTAACTCGTTTTAATCTTAAGGTCATTGAAGTCGTACGTATTGAAGCAAACAGAGACTCTCAGCTTTGAGGATTGTTTTAGATTAGCTGTGGGCTCTGTGATAAATGTGTAGATGCCGTTGGTTTGTGTTAAAAATACACAATCGATGCAGTGTAGATAGTAAATGCTGAATGACTTTGATAAAATTTGCAGAAGAAACTGAAACTTAGTTGTTAAAGCTAAAAGAAGCAGAACACTCACTAAAAGCTAAAATAAGCTAAATGCTATCAGCCAGATACGATAGCTCTGCAAAACGATAGCTAAAACTAAAAGTAGTAAAACACTAGGTAAAGGCAGAAAAACACCATCTAAAAGATGAAAGCAACAAAAAGCTAGCTAAAAGCTGCAAATGGTTAGTTAAAAGCTAAAATTATCAAAAGGCCAGCTATAAGCATGGACTAGCAAAATGTTTACTAAGAAACACAAGGCTAGCTATAATGTAAAAAGGCAAGTCAGTAGATTGATGCAGATTTCAAGGAGAAAAATGTTTTGGAGGAACTGAAGCAACATCAGCATGTTTTTATGGGGAAATATTTGTAAATAAATTTTAAATAACTGAAAAACTGTAAAACATACAAAAGATAACCCTCATAAAATGAGGTGAACGTTTTGATATATGATTGGCAAAAATAGCACAAAGTAGTGCTATTTTTGTGTTTTTAGTGAAAAATAAAACATGAAACCATAGGGCTAATATGAATTAGTATTTATTATTTAAGTATTTTTTTTTAATTTGCCAGTGTCCATGCCAATGTGAATTTCTTTATATAGCACATAAGAACAAAAAAAGTTGACCAAAGCGCTTTATGATTTAATCAATCTAAATGAAAACAACAACATCAAGCATCACTAAGGAAACACAAGAAAATTAACTTCAATTCAATTTCAATTCAAAAATACTTTATTAATCCCAAAGAGAAATTAAATGTTGTATCTCATCATCCTGGTTCCATTAAAGAGTTATAGATGCTGATGGCTGTGGGCAGGAAGGAAAACCACACAACAACGAGAAAAATCAGCTCTAACTAGTTCTCAGACTCTGGATCAAACACCAGGGAACAAAGATGAATCTTGAGCAAAGAAATAAATGTCTTAACAGTCTGAGCGGTCTTTAAATGATCAGGTCAACTGTTCCACAGTTTTGGAGCAGCAACCGCAAAAACCCGATCACCTCTGGACTTCAGTTTAGATCTGGAGACATCAAAGAAGAACTGGTTGGAATAGACCGTAGTGCTCCTACTGGAGTGTAGATGTTAAAAAGATCACATAAATATGACGGGGCCAGACTTTTTAAAACTTTAAAAACAAACAATAAAACCTTAAAATCGACCCTGAAGAGGACAGGTGAGGCATGGAGGCTGCACATCTGCAGAAAGAAAAGCTTTGCAGAGAGTAGTGAAGGCTGCACAGAAGTCTGTTGGAGTCAGTCTCCCCACCATCACAGACATCTACACCTCCAGATGCAGGAAGAAGGCCACCTGCATCATGAAGGACCCCACTCACCCAGCACACACACTTTTTGCCCCGCTCCCCTCAGGAAGTTGGAAGAAACTGGATTTCACAACTGCGCTTATCTGTTTGTCTAACTTAAATTTATCAATAAACCATGTTTTAAAGTAGAACTGATGTACTGATGACCTTGTTTTTTCCAGGGAACATTTATTTTTTCTTTGGTAAAGTACACTCCACTCAAGTTCAACAACACCACTGAGTATCCATGGTGGGGTTACGCTCTTGGCTGGTGGTTCACTCTTTCTTCAACGCTCATGGTTCCCCTCCGGATGCTCTACAATCTGTACACCACTCCTGGGACGCTGCAGCAGGTAACTCTTTATCTTCACATGAGTACAGATCTGCAAAATTATTTGGTGATTCACCCTAAACTGTCACTCTTTTGTTATAGAGATTTTCAGTTTTATGCACTCCATCTGAAGACCTCCCTTTAACCTAATCAGAAAAGAAAGCACTTGAACTTCTCACTTTGCCTCCGTAACGTGATGTAACGAAGGAGAATCTTGCCGAAGAATGAGACGTGAGGAACAATCCTCCACCCGGGAGTTCTGCTGATGACTTACCCCCTAATGCTCCAAATCTTTGTAATACTCTGATAAACATCTGGATCAGTTTGACTGATTTCAATAGCTTTGTTTAAATCCTGATTGTGTTCAATCAAACAGGTTTGCACAAAAATTCATATGTTTTTATTACTTTTTTACTTTCTTGTTAACGGTTTTGTATAACCTGATAGTTCCCTGAACTGGTTAGCAAACAATGCCCTTCACATTTTTCACCACTTCAGATGATTTTAGTCAAAAACATTACTTTAGATGCTAAATTTAATTCACCTAAGAAACATTTTTATTTATAGCTTCTTTAGTTAGACAGCATTTAAAGAAAAATCTACATATACTATTGTGCTAAAATTGAATTTATTAAACTAGATTGTATTTAACTGAATGGAACTGTTTTATTATTCCCCTCTGCTTTAAGATGAAAGGTCAAACATGTTTTTGCTTCTGTTTGTGTGCTTGTTAGCAAAATATCTCGTGAACCACTGGACTGATTTTAATAAAACTCTCAGAGCATAATCTTTGGCTGCATATCTACAACTGACGGACTATTGGAGTTGCTCTAATTCACGATGGCCACCACAGCTAGCCAAACACGCAAATGTCAAGGTTTACAAAAACTGAGCTAAAACTTGATGTAGTAGTAGCTGAGACTGATCCCCAACAAATACTCAGAGCTTTAGATGAGATTTTTGCCCAACACTTTCGTGTTTGTTGTCGGTCCTGTTTGTCTGTTAGCAAAATATCTCATGAACCACAGAGCATATTTTAACAAACCTGTGCAGATCATTTATTTGCAAAAATGGAAGAAACTGTGAGAATGTTTCATTTCTGTGGGTTTTTTTTAGAACACAGAGTCTTGAATGACAAACCAGATCCAGCGTGTTTTGGATCCTAACGAGTTACGACGTGGATTGCAGAGATCCTCGTCATTTCAGTGCCGTGAACTGATGACATAAACTGATGCTGATGTGGAGGCCATCAGCCTCCTGTCATCCAGAGCTTTTAGTTTTCTCATGTTTTTGTTCGGATGGATGACTAAATGTCAACTTTGAGAACACCATTACCTTCCAGTAACTCTCTTTACCATCTTCCACATGTTGGAAATTGTATTTTTGTTCCATATTTGGAAAGAAAAGTCGTCTCGTCTGCTGTTTTAAAAAAAACTGCACCAAATTACCCTCAGACTGAGATGAAGCATTAAAGCTGTGAGAAATAACACAAAACTTGTGTCAATAAACAAATCAGCACTTGTGTGTTGCCTGGTGCATGGTCTTAATGTTAAATATTTTCTGTGATGTCACAATCTTTCATGCACTTGAACACATTTAGGTGGTGTTACAACTGTTTCTACTGCAAAAACAAAAAAGAGGAATGTTTGAGCATAAAGTTGTATTTATAAAACATGGAGTTAAGAGATTGTGTCCTTTTAAAGTTTTTGTTCAGTGTTATTAATTTTTCTGTCAAAAGACAAGAAAGGAAGTTGTTGTTTTTTTCTCTCCACAAAGTTGTCGTTTATTGTTCTGTGCTGCACAAACTGAGTGAAATGTAAAACCAGACTGTGTCATTTTTGTGCCATTTTAATGCAAATACGTTTTTTTGTACATTTATTATCACAAACTGACGTGTTTGTTAGAAGAGCTGCTTTAATACAAGATTTAAACTGCATATTAAAACCATCACAGATTATTTTCAACAGCGATTTAAATGTTTTTCTGTACTCTAACGCTTTATATTTTACACAGAATTCTCAAGCATCAAGTTTGCACATTACTATTTGTGGTAATTTGTGCAACTTTTATGGCTGTAGTTGGAGGCAATGTTTTTATTTACATCAAGACATGATTGAATTATGTCATTTTCAGCAATTAGAGATCAACTGCTGTTTTATTTTTTATTTCTGTCTTTTTAACATTTGTAACAGACGTTTGTGGGTCTTGTTTTAAAACTGAAATGCTTCATTTTCATATTCATTGTTGTGGTTCATATTCCTGCTGGCCTGTGGTCAATGTGACCCAAGAGACCTCTTTCTTGACTTGTTTTGACCCCAGGGCAGCAGGCGGGTAAATACATCAAGGGTAAAGCAGGTGTGTGTGCCATTTTTTTTATTGTCTTGTTACTGATCATTAAAGACCGAGTCTGTCATTAAACACTGTGCACAGATTAAACGTGCTGTTACTTTGCTTTTAGAAATGACTCCTTGTTCTCAAAGCTCGTTGTTTTTGCAAACTACAACGAATCCAAACCTCAAAATTAATCAAATTACAAAGATTTCACAGAGCACTCTTGATTAAAAAGTTTAATATTTGTTCTTGAAATCTCAACATACGAATTCAAAGTGATATATGAGCACAAAAACAACTTTTTGTCTGTTTTTCAGTCAGACTGATACAAATTCATTAAAAAAAAAGTTTTTTAAGCTTAAACAATGTTGCTTCTGCATCTCCAGTGGATCCTTTTCAAGTAAATGAAGTTACTACACCATTTAGAAATCCATTCCGAAACCTATTTAAGTATTTTCAGTTTATGCTGGCTAAAGAGCTTCACTTCTAAATTTATTTTTGGACACAAAAACAATAGCTAGGAAAACTATTTCATTACAAAATTTATTTAGAAATCTTAACAAGCATTCTAATCACACTACACAAAATTTCTGAAACTTCTAATTGTTAAAAAAAAAAATTTTTTAACTGAGCTATTACTATTATTTTTATAAAATGGATTTTAAAGATGCTTTTGAATGAAACCGTTTTCTCAGCTTTATTTTCTAAACTTATTCATTTTAAACATCTAATGACTTTTGACATTACCTAAAGATTGTACCGCTGTAAAATATTCCTCACATTAATATTATTAAAATAAATCCTCAATGTAATTTTATTCTTGCTCCTTGAAGACAAACTTGTTTCTACTGCCCTCTTGTGGCCAAACTAGTAGTTGCTCCATTGTTTTTAATTGGTTGTGATTGTGGAAACAATAAAATATTATATTGTTCAGTGGTTGTCAATGTGACAATAAAAAGTTTTCATTCATTTTTCCTCATACTTAAAATAAATTTTGACTATGTTTGTAGTTGTATCTACTATAAGTAGTGTTGAAAAGTTATGCAAAACAAATTGTTTTTTGTTACATAAGATGACATTTTTTTAGTTTTATCTGATCTAGAAACGTCAAATGATAGTTACTGCACGTTAAAGTTACTGCCCTGGTAGTTGTTGACCTCTAAATGTTATGTACACGCATGAATGTAAAGACAAGATGAACAAAAGGATCCGTTTTACTGTTTGTCAGAAAATATTTCTTTTGCATAAAATGCCAGTTTAAAACATGGATCATTTCTTTACAGAGCAATGATCTTCAAAGATGTTTCACGATAATAAAAACAAACTGATTTAACCAATTTTACATCAAACACAGTGCAGTTCACCCAGCTGCAGTTTACCTTTAAGTCACACTGGGTGTTTCTTTTTATTATTGTAAATTTAACAAAACCATGAATAAGAATCTAAGAAGATATCTTTCACTTTTTGTCTCTGATGACAGGTGTGTGAGACAGTCTGTAAATCCTTGAATACACTCTAAAATGGCTAGAAAAAGTACTTCATGCTCAGTTACACTATACAAAATATTTGAATATTCAGAGGCAGCAGCACTTGAAAACATTTAGCAACAAGCGGTTTAAAAAAACTCACCAACATACAACAATATACACTAACACACAAACACAATGTTGTCACTGCAGTTTTTTTTTCTTTTTTTTTTATACACAAAATAGTTAAGACAGCTAAGGTTTTCATTTTGAACCAGCCAATGGTATTAAAACATTTCAAATTTATTGTCCGGACTTTGTCTAGACATTACATGTAAAGATGACAGTGTTGGTTCGACAGTCACCAAAGTGCAATTTTGTTGTCCCCCCCCCCCCCTAACAACCATACACACACATTTTAAAAAAAAGAACAAAATGGATTGGGGGAGGAGTAAATATACATCTGGTTTAGCACAGAAGCATGATTATATCACAATACCACAGCTGAAAAATAACTCATCAAATTTGTCGTGACTTTAAAGCGCAACTGTGGTTTTTACGTCCCTTTCTCCACACGTGCAGTCAAGACCTCACCCTGTCTAAAACAAAGTAGGAGTTAGATGTTAAGTCATTTTCTGGTGTGTTCATATATATATGATTAAAATAAATAATGCTGCATGTGTTTATCTGCTCAGTTATGGTTTTAAATGTTTTTAAAAGAGACAGTTCAGACATTTTAAAGTGGGGTTCTTTGGAAAGGCTGCTAAAAATTAACTTCCATCCACTCATCTAAACATTTTTCTTCTGGTCATCTGTGGTGGGGTTTCAGAGGCAACATCCCTCTATTCATCCCTCGACACTCTCCAGCACCTCCTGGAGGGGTGGAGGTGGTGGGCGGATCCTAAAGTGTTTGACAATGACTCACCTGTTGTTGGTAGCGCTTCGAACAGCTTTGAACAGCTAATACTTACCAGATTGATGAGCTAATGGCTAGTCCGAGCAGAGTCGAGACAAAGTGAGTTCTTGTCATTTTAACATAGACACTTTTGGCTTTTAATAACCACAGAATTCCATGTAAATAACAACGTGAAGGGGAATTAATGGCAATGCAAAGATTTGTAAAACACATGAATGAGAGTTGTTTAGGACGTCGGCAATCGACTTTGGGCTCGGCGTCGCTTGGACTAGCGATTAGTTTGTGAATCCATGGAGAATTAAATTCTCCAAAAATGGAGTAATTCAAAGAGCTTTCTACAACAGGTAAGATAATCATTGCTAATAACCTCTCCGCAGAATCCCACATTAAAAGATCTGAACTGCAGCTTTAGGATTTCCATCCAACCGCACTATTTTCTGAGTTTTAAAGTTTCAGTCGTCTATCCCTAAATTCCATTAAAGCTCCAAAGCGTAAACATTTATCCTTTAAGTGCCTAGAATCGAATCGTCTTGTAGAGTACACTCCGTGTTAGGCGGGCTGCAGACCATCCCAGCTGACAGAAAGCAGTACATGGGGTGCACCATCAGCTTTTATGTTCATTAACAGCTAAATCACATTCACCATTTTAGCCTGATGTCTTTAAACTGGAGGATAAAATCCAAACTAACAAAATAGTCCCAGGCCAAACCTCGAAGCTTTCTGCAGCGAGCAGACAGCACTAACCGCTGCTCCACTTTGACACGCTGCACAATCACTTTATTTTATTATATTCCATTTTGCGTATGCTTTTATTTTGATTGTATCAAAAGGTTTTTTGCAGCTGCCAACAGCTTGAAATGTAATTATTTCAGAGTTCGTCTGTTAGTACGTACACCAAGGCTTGTCGCTTTGTATTTGATCCGCTACGATGACCAGGACTGGCTGTCCTGTAATACTGTTCGATGGGTCGAAAAAGACAAACTAGAAGATTTCAGCATGAATGTATTGGGGGATTTTAGTGCATGACTATTGTCATATAAAAATTGGGAAAAGAAGGTGCTCAATTTGTAGTTGTTTTTTTTTATGTTTTTTTTTTTTTTTCATTTTTTTGGAAGAAACTTGGACAAAGCCATGTTTTTAAAACCTCTACAGTTATGACCACATGTTACAGCGGCTTGTTAATTTGCAAGTCATTACAGATTACAGATTTTTTTACGTACATTTTGGTCATTTGTGCTTTTTAGAGACACTATTTCTATTGTTTGATGATGTTGAACATCTGTTTTGAGTTGTGGGACATCTCAGTTTATGTCTGCAGCCCTCACATCTTGATTGAAGCTTGTTTCCGTGCCTGCCGAAACAAAAACTTTCCACCATGAAACAAGGCTGAGTTCTGGGCAAAACAAACATGTAACTATTGTGGTTGTTTTTCCTTTTTACGTAAAATACAATTCAGATAACAGATTACACTTTATAATCAAATATTCATATTGCACTGTTTGTTTGTTTTTTAAATAATAAATTTCGCAAAGTTTCAAGTCTGAATCCCCAACATGATGCACGCAGCTGCCTGGAAAAAGGCTTTATACCAAATTAAAGGTCAGAAAACCAGCAAACGTGGTTTTGGAAATAAAGAGTGGAGGCACATGTCAACCCAACAGTAAGAAATGGGGATTCATCAGTGTTTGTTTTTTTTAAAAGAACTGAAACAATTTGTTTTTCTAATAAAATCTTGGGGGAAAAAAGTGTTCACCAATCTTCACGCAGTGATTTTGAAGTTCTATCCTCACGTGGAGGATCGTTCTGCTTGTTCCACGACGCGTGTGACAGAGAAATGCTCATGTCCCTGCTCACACACACACACACACACACTCACACACACATGGTCCACTGGGTTTGGGATGAAGAAGTTTGGGTTTGAGGCTTTTTGTCTCTGCCTCTGCGTTCCTGTTACGATGCACATTCCTGACTCCTCCGCCGCCGTCTATTGCCCACTTCACCGTTCATACTGCTCCTCCTCTTTGACCTCCCAGTCTGCACAAAACAAACAGGTTTGTTCATTTTATTTAAAAAAAATCTAATATTGGGTTTAGCAGAAAGCCAACTTTTATACATCAAAGTAATAAAACGTTGCTTTTTTGCTTTTTCCTTTTTAATCAAAAAGTGTAGTTACCAAGCCTAACCACTAGGTGTGAGCATAGGACAGACAAAAATACCTTCACATTGTGGCAGGACATGGAGTCAACCTAAAACTGCCAAGGAAAAATGTGTGTGTTTAAAATAATCAGTCTGTGATCTAAAATTATAAATATGAATAAAATATATTGAATGTTTTAGCACCTAGCAACAGACTTAAGTGACTGCATAAGTAGTAATGCACCATAAATGTCATTATTAATAATAATAGAAGCAGAAATTGTAGCAGTGGAACAAAATACCTAATAAATAAATTAATTAAAGGGTGTCTCAAGTTGACAAAAGCTAAATGTTTGTAGCAAACTCAAGTAAAACAGGGTTGTGTTTAGTTTCTTTTTTTTTTTAACGGTTCAGAAATCGTAAAAGTTCTGCTGATCATTGATTTTTGTACATTACTCCAATGTACCATAAAATGTGTGTATTTCTTGCATCCCTGCAGCGTGTGATCACATGATACAAAGTTAATTTATAATGAAAGGGAGGTCATGAAAATTTCAGGTGACATGGTCATTTTTCATCAGATAAAACACACGTTATTTATGTGTGTGTGTGTGTGTGTGTGTGTGTGTGTGTGTGTGTGTGTGTGTGT